AGAGAGAGAGAGAGAGAGAGAGAGAGAGAGAGAGAGAGAGAGAGAAATCAGGCGCGACGCCACTTTGTCAAAACGCCTCGATCGATAAGGCACCACGCTCCCCGCGCACATAGGGAGACTATCACTTTGTGAACGCAGAGGGAACGGGAGCGGCCGCCGCTTCTTTTGGCCTGTTTCGATTTCGACCACAACAGGCTTCGAATTCAAACCACCACTCTACCCGACGTTGGAAATTCGGGGGACCGGTAGCACAGGTCCATGAGGGCTACCAGTAGCACAGAGTGGAGAACCGGCAGAGTGGTGAATATGAAAAATGGGATGAATTTGCGGTATAAGCTATTTCGCAGTTGAGACAATTTTTTTAATTTCTTAAAACATTTTTCCTGAAAAGATCATGACCACATCTATGGACCCTCAAATTTTCAGACTTGTTTACGAGTTCTTCTGAGCGCGAAAAATCTTTGAAATAGGGTTACTTTTCCCGTTGGCCCACAAGTTGTCGTGTGCCAAAAATGGAAAAAGTGACGAATTGGCGCGGCATTTATTTGATGGTCTAAACGATTTTATTTTATTTTGTTGATATTTTTCCTGGAAAGATCACGACCTGGCCTACCCGATATCAAATTTTCAGTTTTTTGCTCCAAGTATTCTGCGTACGAAAAATCGCCAAAGTTGGCACTCRAAAATTGCAAGATTGGACCCGCCTGCGCCTTCCAGTCGGCCCCCCCCCTAAAAACCCGCCCTAACTCAGCGGAATGCCAATTTTCAGGACCCGGCCTTGCTGACCTCCTGCGGGCAGCTACCGGTCCTCCAACAGCGAAAACGTTTCAGGATCCGGCCTCCCCGGCCTCCTGCGGGCAGCTACTGGTCCTCCAACAGCGAAAACTGCCTATTTCCCACGAATTCGACCCCCAGCCAATATACCACCCTTCCAACTACGGCACCGTTTGGTGACAACGACGAAAAATGTCTCAGGGGCATAAAATGCACCCCTGACGGGCTGCGAACACTTTGCACTCAGGGCAAGGTCGTGCGGTCACACGAGGGGACACCAAAGAAAAGAAAAAGAAAAAAAAGAAAAAAGAAAAGAAAAACAACTTGGGCTGGTTGTCTTATTCTACCAAAGAAAAGAAAAAGAAAAAAAAGAAAAAAGAAAAGAAAAACAACTTGGGCTGGTTGTCTTATTCTTCTACGATTTTCTACAAATTGAGGAAAGGAAACGAAAAATGCGTTTGGTCATTTGAGACCACCTCTGGAGGTGGTCTCAAAAAGGGTACCCACGCGGCCTCGCAGGCCACTGACATTTGGTCACGATTTGAGGCATTTGGGTACAGGGCCAACCCCGTGTGACCACAAAAATGCCTCAAATTTTGGGATTTTGGTTCATTTGGTCCCCGTGTGAGTATGCCCTGAGAATCCGTGAGAGGGGCGAGTGAAACAGGACGTAGGGTAATAAGGACGGAAATAAGGTATGCGTTCGAGACTAGGAGGGCCCTAAGTGGAGTCGCGAGGGAGAGCGAGGAGGCGGCTCAAGTGTGGAGAAGGGCACCCGAAGGTCCAATTTGTACCCCGCTCATGGCGAGAGGATAGGCGCCTGGGTTCCCCCCAGCACGCGGAAATCTCCGCCTGAAATACGCGCTGTCTTCAGTGGGTCATTGCGAAGAGTTTGGGATACTCGCCGTCGCTGCGTGTATTTGTTTCTGTCTCTCTGTATTACTGTTTGTCCGTTTCGCTGTCTGTTTGTGTGTTTGTCTTTGTGTTTCTGTATGTCATCGTTTGTTTGGCTGGAACGCGAAATTGGCAGCTTGCCGGTTGTGAGACGGTGATCGCCAGGTGTAAGGTGTGCGCGACGACACGTGTACGCTGTGGGTTTCAGACAACCTGGTAAGGGTGATGATGATCGACGGCGTGGAAACTGCTGGCGTCGATGTGGAGATCAGCGGACTGGATGCACAGCTCGCTGAAGATGCGAGAGGGGGTGATACGGGCTGAGCTTCTCCTTCCTCTTTGGCGATGGAGAAGGTCAGTGAGGGCATATTCACACTGCCACAATTTCGACGGAGACTGGGAGTGATCTCATACAGGTACACCCAGAAACGTTTTTCATGAGTATGTGCGAGGTGCTGGTACGGTGCAACGATGAATGAAAGAGCGGGCTGTCGTGAAGAAGAATGGATTGCGCTCTTTCCCGGTCCAGGTTGTACGGAATGTGATGCTGTCCACGTTTGACGGATTTGAGTTTAATTTGCGCAGAAGTGGTATTTAAGTGCATTCCACGTGGAAGATTCAGAGAACACACACATACACACAGAGAGAGAGAGAGAGAGAGAGAGAGAGAGAGAGAGAGAGAGAGAGAGAGAGAGAGAGAGAGAGAGAGAGAGCAGGACAGGGAAATTCACAATGGCGGCGTGGTCACCCGGCGGCGAAGAAGGGAGAGATCAGGTGAAGGTCAGCTTCGCGGAAGAGATTTCCAGTGCCTCCTTGGGTGCGTGGTTGGCCCGTGATAATGAAGATGCTGATGGGAGCGGTAGCGGGAGAAGAGGAGGAGTAGGAGTAGGAGGAGGAGGAATGGACAACTGCATGGCCTGGACTAAGGGCAGCGGAGATAACCTCCTTTCAATCGAAGGTTTCAATCGCGATCCCCGAGTTTCTGTTTTCAATCTTGCTAATGCCGCCATCGGCTCTGGTGTGCTTGGCTTCCCCTACGCCTTCCGTCACTTGGGATTATTGGGTGGACTTATCTTCACTCTGGTCATCTACTTTATTCTTGTTCTGGCCCTTCGGGTCCTAATGCGCGCCTCTCGGCATTTTCGATGTTCCACTTTCCAGGACGTTACTGCCGTTGCTCTCGGCCCATTGATGAGTTTCTTAGCTAGCATTATGATTCTTGTTTATCTCGTAGGTGCATTGATTTCCTATTTGATCGTCACTGCAGATATCTTTCTTCCCTTTCTGGTCCAGAGTCTGCCACGTGGCAGTCCCCTGGCCAGTCGAACCGTTTTCCTCTGCCTTGTCTCGGTTTTCGTCATTCTTCCTCTTGCGTTGAAACGCACCATGGCGTCTTTGAAATGGAGTAGCGTTCTGGCTGTCTGTATGCTGTCATACTTGGCCATCACGCTGTTCTGCTTCATTGTGGGCAAGCTTGTGACGGCGCCAGGTGCCAGCGCCGGCGAATTCCGCGATGTGGCCCTGTTCAATATCGATTCCCAGTTCTTCGCCTGCCTTAGCATCTTCGTCTTCGGGCTCAACTGCAACGTTCAGTCGGTGTCAATCTTCGCGGAGCTGAGTGAAGACGCATCACCGCTGTGCTTCCGCCGCCAAACGGAGGAGGAGCCATCGACGGGAGTGGGTGGGCGGGAATCAACAGACGGGGGAAAGACAGCGGCGGGGGGCGCGGGGGAGAACCGCGGGAGGAAGTTAGCCGTTATGGATGGCGTCATCTTCGCCGGGACGGGGATTTGTTTGTGCCTTTACGCGTCGGTAGGGTTTTTCGGCTACCTGATTTTCCCCCACGTGGAGAGCGACATTTTGTCCAGTTTTCCGCAGGGGAATCTGGCTCTAAACGTGGTTAGATACGGAATGGCCGTAGTGACGATCGTGGCGTACCCTGTGAACCTCTTTCCCGCCAGGTCGATGTGTCTCGACATCGCTCTTCAAATCGCTCGTTTCAGGGAGCAGGTTCGCACACCTTACTCCTCCTCCTCCTCCTCGTCGACTCACTTGCCCCTCACCTTCCCTGCCTCTTCTTCTTGCACTTGGTTCACGCCTGATGTAAACCACGTTCTGCTGTCCGTCGCGCTTGTGCTTTTCCCTTTGGGAATAGCATTGTCTATATCGGAAATAGGTACGGTACAGGCATTAGTGGGGAGTTCGAGTGGGGTTTTGATCGTTTTCATAGTCCCCGGCTTGCTCCTATTGATGGGAATAGACCCAAGAGTAGCGGCGACAGAATCGACACAGTCGTCGAGGGATGCATCTGCGAGGCTTCCGCTACTCGCGGAAGCGGGGGAGAGAGAGGCAGGACGCGGGCGAAACGGGGGTGGTGAGGGGGGGTACGAGGAAGACGCGGAAGAAAGCTCCGCGTCACTGCCCCCGCTTGCGCGTGCTTCCGACCGAAAGCTCCGCGCAGCGGCGGTGTACGATCATGGGGGAGGAGGACAGCCAGGAGGAGGGAGAAGACCGGGGAAGCTGGAGACAGCCTCATGGTTCACGTCTGCTCTTGGATGCTTCATGCTGGTTTTCGGGGCTATCATATTTGTGTCCACTGTCTCAGTCCAGCTGTCAAAAGCTTTCGCTCGCTAGACGGACCTAGTAGGGAATCGAACCCCTGCGCTACGGTAGTAAAAAGCGCGGTGCGCACGCTCTTCGTTGTCGTTGTCGCCGTCGATGTTTCTTTTACATAAACGCCTGGTTTGCCCGGGTTTTCTTAGCCTGGGCGGGTTTTCTTCGCCCTGGCGGGTTTTCTTCACCCGGGTTTTCTTCTTTCTCTGTTCTCTTCCCAGATATGTCTGGAACTGAGATCATGTTTGTGTGGAGTAAGTGGCCTACCTCAGTTGGTTGGGCACGCAAGTGCCATTCAGGAGGTCGTGGGTTCAATCCCAACCGACCACCTGCGGGACTCTCGATCCCAACCAACTGAGGTATAGCTGGCTTGCTCCCTCCGTTCGATATCGGTCTAGGGTCTTTGGCGTCACGGGTGTCTGTGGGGGGGGGGTGGGGCGGGGAGTGACAATGTCGTTACTTGAAAGAGGTGGGGGGAAAGAAGATTGAGAGG